GAAATGGTCCTGGAAACTAGATATACACATGAGAAAAAAAGAAAGAAAGATAAATTGGAACTTTACCTGACCCATATACAAAAATTAACTCAAAATAGATCAAAGACCTAAATGTAAGAGTTAAAACTATAAAACTCTTAAAAGAAAACATAGGGGAAAAGCTTTAAGACATTGGATTAGGCAATGATTTCTTGGATATGACACCAAAGTACAAGCAACCAAAGGAAAAATTGACAAGTTGGCATTCATTAAAATTAAAGACTTGTGTAGCAAAAGACACTGTCAAAAGAGTGAAAAGGCAACCCATGGAATGGGAGAAAATATTTGTAAATCATATAACTGATGAGAGATTGGTATCCTTTATATACAAAGAGCTTCTACAACTTACTAAGAAGAACAAAAACCAAAAACAAAAACAACATAACCCAATTTAAAAAATGGACAACTAATTCTAATAGGCATTTCTCCAAAGAAAATATCTAAATGGCCAATAAGCACATGAAAATGTGCTCAACATTACTAGACATTAGGAAAATAAAAGTCAAAAACATAATGAGATACCACTTTACATATATTTGGATGACTACTAACAAAAAAAAGGAGAGAGAGAGAGAGAGAGAGAGAGAGAGAGAGAGAGAGAGAGAGAAGTGTTGGCAAGAATGTGGACAAATCGGAACTGGTGTGCATTGTTGGCGGGAATGCAAAATGATGCAGCCACTGTGGAAAATGGTATGGCAAGTCCTCAAAAAAATCAATTTAAAATTACCTTACTATCCAGCAATTCCACTTTGGGATATACCCCAAAGAATGAAAGCAGAGACTCAAAGATATATTTGTATACCCATGTTCATAGCAGCATTAATTATGATAGACAAAATGTGGAAGAAACCCAAATGTCCATTGATGAATGAATGGATAAACAAAATGTGGTATATACATGCAAAGGAAAATTTGATACAAACTACAACTTAGAAGAACCTTGAAAACATTATGCTAAATGAAATAAGACAGTCACATAAGGACAAATATATGTTTCTTCTTGTATGATGTGATAAGTATTAAAGAAAAGGAAAGTAGGATGGTGGTAACCAGGAGCTGGGGGAGGAGAGGGAATGGAAAGTTATCACTTACTGGATTACAAAGTTGGGGAAGATGAAAAAGTTCTGGAGATGGATCATGGTGATGATTTGCACAACAATACGAATGTGTTTAATGCCACAGAAGTGCACACTTAAAAATGGTTAAAATGGTAAATTTTATGTTATGTATATTTTACTACAGTAAAAAGAAATATTGAACTTCCTATGAAATTATATTTTGATTTACAGCTAAAATTGGGTAATGGATGCTGTGCTAAGCTCCCAGATTCTACTTTCAGGACTGGGTCATAATCGCCCAGATGCTGGGACGTGCTCAGCTATTAGTCTCCAAAAACTGCCCTTGGCTGAAGAGAGCTGCCTTGGGGTCAGGTTTCATTCCCAGGGCAGCCTAAACCCGGTGGCTCTTCAATGTGAGGTGATTGCAACCAGTTCACGGCTCCCAAGGGGCTGACCCAGTCTTTGTTGTGCCCACACTGCAGCCCAACTTCTCCTTCTTTCCAACCTTTAAAACTTCTTGAAAAATAAGAGAAAGAAGTGAAGGAAGAAAGGAAGGAAAAGGAAAGAAGGAGGAAGGGAGAAGGAAGGATGAGAAAACAGCACCTCTTTCTCGATTTGTTTCTTCCACCTACTAGAAAAACCGTCACCACAAGGATTTAAGTATTTGATGAGGGATTCATTCAAAAGGCACCTTCCAGTCCTGCAGTGCACAACCCGCAAGAAGCAGTGGTTCTATGTTGATCCCTGTCTCCTGCCTCTGCCTTGGGGATCCCAGCACCATTCAGCAGGATCTGCTGATGAGTGTCCACTTATCCCTAACCAGCACCAGAGCCAGCCTTGACTCAGAAGGGAAACTTGTCCGTTTCCTCAGCCCCCGCCCCCCCTCCACACACACAGTAGAACTTGGCAGTCATTTCTGGCGTCAACCAGATCTGGGATATGAGAGGCTAGGAGGGAGTTCTGAGGGCTCCCTAGAGGCTTTCACTCTTTAGCTCTGTGGTTTTAATTTTACCTCTGGTCCTCACACTTCCCTGGATCATCCTCAGTCTTTGGGCAGGTCTCCATATTTCCAGTCTCTCCTGTCTCTTGCTTTGATGGATCTTAGGCTGCTGTGTTTTCCTGAATGCATTTTGCTTATGTCAAATGTGAAGTAAAGTTCCTAGGATATCTGTTAGCTCCGGGATCAGACCTGGGGTCTCCTTTTCAACACCCAGAAAAGAATCCTTAAATGGTTCATTTTTCAAGTAGTCTAAATTAGACGATAATGTTTTGGTGGTGAAGAGTGGGGTGTTAGCTACTGATTTAATTAACTTTATAATTTAACAACAAAATCCTCATATTGAAAGAGAAGAAAAAAATAAAACCTTTCACTATCACACTGTTCCTCAAAAGAATGGTCTAACCTCCCTTCTCTCCTTCCTGGACAAGCTACTCCTGGGGCAGTGGTCTTTCTTCCCCACCAGTCCATGGAAGGATGCTCTCTCAGAGACCACTACTGGCTTTCCAATGGTCAAATCCAGGAAACTTGTAAATCATCATCTTATTTGACCATTTCACAACTTTCTTCTCCTTTTGATTTGGTCATTATAATGTTTCAATTCTCTTTCCATGTCTCTGACTGCGTTTTCCCTATTTCTTTGGCAATTTCTTCTGCCTAGAGGTTAAACATTGATGTTCTCTGGGGTCCCCTCTATCTGCCTGTCTTCTGCACATCTCCACTTGGATGTCCCTCAAACATCTCAGAATTAGTGTGTCCAGAGAAGGAGAGAGGGAAAGAGAAAAGAAGTTCAGTAATGCGGAAGTGAGATAGGATTTCCACACCTGCCTACATTGAGGAGCTAAAAATAGGAACATTTGGGGAGAAAAATAGTGAGAAATGTTTTAATTCTACTATAAGACATGAGCTATAAGAATGGAGGTTTGCAGAGAAAGTTGTGTTTCTCACTCGATAAAAGTTCAGAATAGGTTAGAAAAAATTATAAATATTTTGGGTATCCCAGACTTCATTTTTTCCCTTTCCCCTCAAGCCTGTTCTCTATATTTCTCCCTGTATCAAAACCTCTTCTTTAGGACAGAGTCTAATACTTATCCACGTAAGTTTAATATGGTAATTTTACACATTAGCATAAGCCCATATCTGAAGTCAAAGATGCTTAAATGCAGCAACCATTAAAAAAAATCTATATAACCCAGTGTACCCAGCACAGGGCTAAACATAATAATATTCAATAAATATTTATTAAAAGGTGTTAAAAAGCATTATTTATATTATCAAACTCTGTAAACAACCTAAATATCCAACAATGAGGAAGCATAACCATGATATGGAGAAATATTACATAACTATAAAAAGATTTCAAAACCCTTTTTACTGCCCTGTGGAAATGCTTATAATAAAATGTCAAGGAAAATACACAGGATTCAAGTTTCTACTACTGTCAATTAAAAAATAATATGCATATACAAAAGACTGAGAAAATATGTGGGTATCTCTGGAATCTTCTATCCAAAATGCAGCTGTATTTGATATTTAGTTCCTTCTTTCTACTTTTTTGTATTTATGAATTACTTATAATTGGTATGAGCTAACTGTTACAAAAGTAAGCATTGTGGAAGATTGATTTGCAAGAACAAGAACTTTTCGGGGTTGTGGAAGTCACAGTGTGCTGTGTGCCCTGCTGGGTCCGGTACATGGAGAGGAGATGCCAGCCGCTCCAGCTGGCCAGCAGAAGATGGGTTTTAAAGAGGTCACAGGAGTGGAGGGCCTGCCCTTTAAAGAAAAGGTGAGATCAACCAAAGGACTTATATGCAAGCATATAGGCCTAACCAATGGACACGGACAACAGAGGGGTGGGGGCATGAGTGGGGGGATAGGGGGTAACGTGGGGATAAGGACACATATGTAATATCTTAAACAATAAAAAATATATATTTATAAAAAAAGAAAAAAAGAAAAGGTGAGTATGCGGGGATGTTGATGCATTGGTGCTTGGCACCTGGGCAGCCTTTCCCTAGGAGGGCTCCCCTGTGCTGGGCTATCAGGCTGTCCAGGCCTGTACAAAGGAGCTCCTGATTCCTCCTCACCTTTTGTTCCGTAAACAGTCAAGGCTTGCTCAGCTTCTGGAACATGTTTATTTTCACCCTGCTTCCCCATCCTCTTCTGTCCAAAACGCAGCTGTAAGAGGAAGTGAACCCTTTGTGTTGGTGCCTCAGTGATACTCTACATTAATATCTTCAAGAATTGAGGTTGTGTGTCCTTGCAAAAAAAATACTAGTTACCACCGTGCCTACACCATAAAACCTACACAACCAGGACTTGGGGATCTTCATGAAGAGACCACAGATTTCAACCTTCATAAACTGTTTCCTTCAGTTATTTCTGGAAATTCCTTCTAAACATCTGCATTTGCTTCTAACTTAAATTGCTTCCCACCTCTTTCCCCTGAACTCTGTTGCTTCCCTGTGGGAGAGCAAACTTCATGGCCAGTATAAACAACAAACAAACAAAACCCTGCCACAGCAATCCCTAGCCCTCTCCTAATTTCTAATTTCCTGTACCTAAAAAAAAAATGCAATCCTAGACTTTCCTAGTGTTTCAAGGATCTTAGGATCTCTAACGGAGAGATTAAAAAACTTTGAAAACCTAACGACACCTACGATTTTGTTTTTATTATTTGCTAGTTATTAAAATATCCAGCCTCCTGACTAGGGAAGACTGGTGGCAGGAGGGACCGGAGGCGTGGGGGAGAAGTGTAGAAAAAAGAAATCCCAGCTCTGCCTATAGGACTGTGCGTGAAAGAGCCCGCTTCCTCGGGCAGGCTGCTCCAGGCCGCGTTTTGCAGGCGGCCGCATCTGCCTCCCGGGTCTCTTACCTCCTTGATGTTCGGCACTATTTGTGGCCAGCGTGGTGGAAGGACACAGTGAGGTTCTCACCCCCGCCCTCCGCCCCGCGCTCCCATCCCAAGTTCCATCAAAGCGAACCCGGGCCAGCGCAAGGATCTTCGAGTTGCGAGTGTGCTGAGGCTGGGACTGTCACTCATTCTCCCCTCAGCGCGTGAACGCAGCTCGGCAGCCGCTGGCAGGAAACAATTCTGCAAAAATAATCATACTCAGCCTGGCAATTGTCTGCCTCTAGGTCTGTTGCTCTAACGCCGTCCACACTCGCTGCAAGGAGCCGGGGCACAGAATTTACCGCGGCAAGAACACCCTTCCCAGCCAGCAGATTACAATGCTGCAAACTAAGGATCTCATCTGGACTTTGTTTTTCCTGGGAACTGCAGGTACATTTCAAAAAATTCTTCTTCTTAAATCCGATTTGATCATTGCCTTCATCTCCCTACTCCTCTCCCGAGGGACACTGTTATTTCGGGTGATTTTACGGAGAATGCTAAGGGCGCTCATTTTCGTGGAGCTGAGGAAGGAGAGCATCGCCCTGGCTGTCCTGCCGAACCCGCGCCCTCTCGGGCTGCGGTGG